AAAAAAAGTTGATATAGAAATTTTTTTTAAATGTCTCCCTCTACTGATATGCCTCATGACTTATTTTCATCTCTCAAAAATGTACTATCTCATCTAATCCTCACACTAACTTTGTAAGATATGATCAGCCCCATTTCACATCTGAAGAACATTAAGTTATTTGATTAAACTTGTAATTAGTAAGTGGCAAACTGCAACCTAACTCCTGAAACCAAAGTCAGTGTTGTTTCTCCTCCACCCTGGCTGCCCATTTCTAATTTTTATTTTAGATTGAAGTAGCATATGCTAACTTATATATGGATATATATTTCACATATGTAGCGTCTAGTACAGGAAAATATGTATTTGAGTCTCTAAGCCTTGTCTGTGAATTCTAAAATGTAAATGTCTTGCACATCGATCTTACCTACTGCTAAAATAGCTTACCCTTTACTAATCACTGAACTTCCTAGTGCAACACGATGGTTGTAATCATATCTTATTATAGAAATGCCTTGTTCCTGGGAATACTGAGTGCTGAATAAGTAACTAATGCTTATTCCATTAAAAGCCTTTTAATGTTTATCCAGAAGTGCTATCAGTTTAAAATTTTTAATTGAAAAATATATTAATAGTACATTTTTTTTGTACGTCCAAAATTCCTTCATCAGGGAACCCTGTTTCCCCTGTTCCACAGAAATTCTGTTGAATCCATGAAGAGGGGTAAGAAAGAGTAGGGAGCCCATCCTTCCCCTGCACAAGAACACCATCCCTAAAAGTGGGCACATAGCATAAATTGGGCCAATCAGACTTCTACCAAAGCTATAGGAAAGATTTTTGGGGGTATAATGCCACCTGAAGAGATGATGTGGGTTTGAGGCTGCCGATTGCAATATTATTACCAAATGTAAAGTTTATCTGGAAAATGAGACCTGGCAAGGCTAAGAGGTATACAGAATAAGCACTATTATTTGAACCTCCAGATCCAACCACACTTTCTTGAGATTTCCAGATTTGAGACAAAAGTACTTTCCTTATTTTGTTTAACCTAGTTTGATTTGAATTAGTACCTATAAAATATTAATACAAAACTTTCTAAAATATTTTATTTCTTTAGACTTTCTATATTGAGACTACTGAATGCAATCTACTGTGTAGCCTAATGTGTAATCTATCACTTATAGATTACAATCTATTAGCCTCAACTGTAAAAATAGAAATAATAAAGTATCTACTTGGAAAAAGCTTTGTGAAGAATAAATGAGCTAAAGCACATAAAAACACCAGCTGCCATGCCTAGCATTCAACAAATACAATTGGTTTCCTCTTTTCTTAATTGTCTTCCAAAACAACAACAACAGCAGCAGGCAATATTTGAGTGCTTCTAATTCTAAGCGTTTTTCGTGTATTAACTCATTTAATGCATGCAACCACCATGAGGCAGGTACTCCAATTAGCTTCACCCTACAGAGGAGGAAAAGGAAGTGCAGAGAGGTTTTGTAAGTCATCCAAGATACACACAGACATTGTGGAAGAGCTGGGGTATAAATTATCATATTATGCAACCAACTGGTTGCATGTGAAAGTCTCCTCTCGTATCACTTGAAATTGCTCTCCTTTTATTAAATAGCATTTTTATCACATATTACATATTTTTTACATTACTAAAAGCTTTTAAAGACAGATTCTTTCTTGACAAGAAAAGTCCTGTGTCTTCCAGGTTTCATTTTCTCTTCGCTGTGAGGCTGTTAACTCTCACCTCTCTTTATGTCACTGAACCTGTCTTCAGAAAATCCTTCCAAGGTTTAGTTTTTCTACTCTTCTGTGGATTAGGAAAAGCGCCTCATCATCTCACTGCACATTTAGTACAGAATAAAGTTAGGAAATTTCTAAGTGCAGATCTAAGAGGCATAATATATTTAATACAAAAGTTTTATAATAATTTGAAGGTTTAGAAGCTTTTTCTGCTTATGTCTTGTGCAAAGTATAGCATCAATGTATTATTTATACACACCTATATTCTATTTTTTTCAATTATTCCTTAAAAGAAACTCATAATTAGCCATGATAACAGCAGCTAATGCTTACTGAGTGCTTATAATGTGCTGTGCACCCTGCCAAGCATTAACCTAAGTATTTCATTTACTTGTAAAAAGATCAATAACAGCCAAGGAAGCTATAGTCCAAGAACACAGGGAGCAATGGGAGGACAGGACTAGCTCACCACGCTCTTCATGCATTCTGTGAGGGCAGGAGCCCATCTGGCCTACTCCCCACACTCTCCTGCCCTCTAACATAGTTCAGGGCACCCAGGAAGCACTCAAATATTTAATTTTAAAAATGCTTTAATAAAAGGAGAACAATTTCAAGTGATATAAAAAAGAGACTTTAACATGGGAGGGGCAGGTACTGTGTAGAAGGGAAAAAGCTTTTAAAGGTAGATTCTTTCTTGACAATTTCTGGTAACTTCTTTAGTCCTAAAAATTCCGTATTGTCACTAGGATACAAATTTCCTTTCCCCTTTTCATCAGGCTGATTTGCATGCTCTATTCAACTAAAAACCAGCCAGGAATACCAGAAGCTTAGTATCTCTGAAATGAGATGAAGAGGATGATCAGAAAAACAGTGAGTCAGCCATAAAACAAGTTTATGTTTATTTTATAATTCAATTTAATTCTCTTTACCCTCACCTTTATTTTAATATTATGAGCAATATGTGCCATTATGACAGCTATTAAGGGTTAATGGATTAATTAAAACTATAATTATCTGATAAGACTAGCATACTGTCTAGCCTGATTTAGGGCAAATTCATCTACTTCAACTAAAAATACTGGACAGATAAAAAAAGGTGAATAATGAAATAAAAATTAACCCTGCAGGTCTTGTTTCCACTACATATTTTCTAAGCAACCTAAGGTATCATTCAAATAAAAGAGTCATAGTGTGTTTTTAATTTTTATTAATAAGAGTTCTGAATACAAATAAATTTAATTTGACATTTAGGAAAAAAGATTCACTCTCTAAGGTTTGTTCATAAGGAAAAACTTGTTCTGTACATTTTAACCTCCAATTTTAATGCTTAACACCATAATACTTTTAAGTATAGGACTTAATTTTAGGTTTAATTTTAATAATTCTGTCTTGTTGCATCTGGCTGAAGAGACCACCAGGTAAGAAAAAAGCAAGAGACTAATTAAAATGACCCGAATCAAAAACCTTACTACAAATTTGCTTTTTAAAAAGCCTTTACAACAACCTAATAATTAGAATACTTATGGCAGAAAAATTAGCAGTTATGAACAAAATTAACATAATATTTTATCAAAAACTGCATTACAACTATTGTGTTTTACATAAATTAGAATCATTTACAACATTGTAAATGCTTGCTTATATCAAGCATACAAATTTTTTTATTAAGAAAACTTTTTAATATAGTTTAGCACATTTGGGAGATTCTGTTCCCAGTAAATGACAGGGACACAATATAGAAGATGAAGATGGTAAGTGGTACATCTTTTAATTAGAGACCTAACCATGTAAGTCTTGTCTGAGTCAAGAAATTCATCTACTTCAACTAAAAATACTGGACAGATAAAAAAAGGTGAATAATGAAATAAAAATTAACCCTGCAGGTCTTGTTTCCACTACTTATTTTCTAAGCATAAGAATTTATAAGAACTCAGGATAAGACAGTAACTCTTCCCCCTCATCAGTATGTATGCTTGGCATCAGAAATCATACTACAAGCAAATACACAGTAAATTCTTGAAAAAAAAAAAAACAGCTCACTTTAGAGTAAGTGCCAACCTAAATTTTTTATTCTTCCCAACACACTGTTTCTGCATCTCTTCATTTTAATAGTGTTTTCTCCTTGGTTGGTGGTGTGTTACTGCTTCTTAAAGACCAATCATACCCTGCATAATCCAACATCATCAACTTCTCTGCAGTTGAAGTGAACTACAAATAGCCAAAAGGAGATCAATGCATTTCAGCAGAAAACTGTCCACTCTCCTCAGTAAGGCAGAAGCTCCATCCCTAAAAAACGTTTATGCAAAGTTACTTTACAACTAATCCTGTAAGTCCAATAGTATTACATTATTGCTGTCTCCTTTGTTTGAGGGCAAGTTCAAATCTTAGAAATATATATTAAAATTTCCAGATTACATTACTCTAGAAACATAATTGAGTTGAAAATCTTTCTATATTGGGATATGGTTTCTTCCATTCCTTGTATTTGGTATGAAATCTTACACCCAGTCACTGAGACACAAAGAGTGCAAGAGAACAAGGAGAGAAATTACATTGTACCCAAGCCTCTGTGAGGCACCACTCACAGAAGGACTCACAGAGGAACTGTCCGTGCAAAAAGAGAAATGTCT